TACACTGTGACACACACACACACACACAGACAATACACTGTGACACACACACACACAAACACACAGACAATACACTGTAACACCCATACTGCCAAATACTTCTATTCCAGCCAAATCAAAGACTTCCACCTGATTGATCTACTTGATCACTTCAAACTCCACTCACCCTGCAACCCCTTTCCCCACGGTCCTAACAGGGTTCCACCTTGAAGGGTCTAGGCCCGAAACGTCAGTCTTCCTGCTCCTCTGATGCTGCTGGACCTGCTGTGTTCATCCAGCTCTACACCTTGTTATCTAGGGTTCCACCCACTCTGGTTGACAGTTCACTGCAGTGAGAGCATCCTCTCCCAGTCCCTCACTGTGTGGGGACGATGCCCAGCAAAACCCTTTCAAGTCACTGCCCAGAGGGAACTAAAAGTTTTATGAGTGTAAAGAAGAGGTGACATTCTAGGTCAGATAATGCACGTTAGGTGTGAGGTCAGTGACTTGAAAGGAATTTGGAGATTTACATCTACATATTAATCAATTAAAGCCTTCTAACTGATTAAAGATCTAACAGCACCTTAGGTTTGTTTGATGCATCCTCATCAGTGGTGTGACCCTTTCATCTTTTATGTACAAGTTTTGTGGCTGATAGCACCTCACTAACGCCTGAAGAAGGAGTGAGTCTCCGAAAGCTTGTGTTTTCAAATAAACCAGTTGGACTATAATCTGGTGTTGTGTGATTTCTGACCTTGTCCACCCCAGTCCAACACCGGCAACTCCACATCACACACAGAGGTAGAGCAAGGACCACCATTCTGGACCATGATGCCTATTGTAATCGAACCCATTGCCTGAACTCATGTTTAAAGAATGACTGGTTGGTTTAGGTACCAGAAAATGCAGGCCCGAGTCCAAAATCCAGCCAAGGGAAAATAACCGTGAGGAAACGGGTGGAAAAGGTTAACAGGAGTTTCATCAGGCACAGTTGAAAAGATAGTCACTATAAACACAGATATCGGTGGACTGTTCATCAACGCATATGAAATTCATCAAACTGATCGACTGTGCAAAAGCCATGCTCAAAATCAGGAAGCCAAAGACACAGAAAACTGGAGAACACCAAGCAGTTACACAGCAAATGATCCGAAACGTTCTCGAAGCAAGGGTGAACTCAGCAGACTAGGTACCTTCAGAACCACTTTGCGGCGAGTCACCCTGGTAGTGATAATCTCCTCCTCATCCGAACTAGTCTCGCTTTCCCCAAGTTCCTGATTGATGCAGTTTAGCACATCACGTTAGGAGCTGGCATTAACATGGTACGCGACACTGGCAGATGCGCTTGCTTTAAGCCAGTGAGAACAAGCTGGCATTATCATCACTTACCACTAACATGTCATTGGGTACTGGGTCTTTTGCACTCCCTTATTAAATATCCCTTTTATAAGACTGGCTTTTATACAAAACTGCCAAAATAACACATCAATTCTCTCAATCACTTGCAAGGTAACTCAATAACTATCTTAAACCTAAATATTTCACAATTTTAACTGCTTCTTTCATTTAAAGTTGCTTTTCTTCTTATTTCTCATCCACCTTCTGCAGGCAGAGGACAAAGTGGTTTCTTTAGCTAAGGGAGTCTGATCCTTTCCACTTAAAGTGTTAACTGGAATATTGTGTACTCCTCAGATACGGAAAGAAAACATCGACTTATTTTGGAAGAGAAGTTCTGATTTTTTTTTGAACTGGGAGACTAAGATTTAAACACAATTTCACACATTATTGGGTGCAATTTTATTCAGTTTAAACTTTGCACTCATTAGAAGGACAACCTACACATTAAATAGTGTGAGGGGAAGGAATGTGGCCAAAGTGAGACCTGCAATGCACCATGAAGGTATCTAAATTAAAATCTTTCACATTGTTCCACAGTTTAAGTTGGATTTATGCACTCATTTGAATCTTTGTTTAAGGGAAGACTCGCATGGTTTGTACATCCTGCTCCAAACAGAACCCTGTGTTGCAGGGCCAGTGCAGTTCATGATGCCTTTGGAAGGAAATCTCATGCCAAGTAATTTCACTTGCCGATGACAATGAAAAGCATCGGAGAGTAATCTTGCCTTATCATGAACAGATGATCCAACAGTGTGTACCTACTGTCAGTCGGGTTAGGTCTTTTAATTATCAAAAGACAGGATCTCACTCTGACCTAAGTCCCAAATAATCTTCTGGGACCTCTGGTTAAAAAAAACTATTGACTTTCTGTGGTAATACCCCATCCCTGTTGAGGACACAGGTCTGTGAGTGGAGTGAAGGGATTCGAGTGAAGGATTCAGATGTGAGGAAATCGGGATATCTTAATGTGTAAGTAGAGTTCCAGGTTTGAAGTTAATCTTTTTTTTAAACTTTATGTCCAAGATACATGACGATGTATTCACCATTTCTGATACATTAACATCGCTTTCCTCTCACTTTAAGTGTGTATCGTATCAGCTTTGTCATGGAAAATTAACTTTGCTTCTGGTGGATAAAATCTATTAGGTGGGAAGTGAAACTGGGAAGGGAAGGCTTGTCTGTTATCAGTGGCGAATAACAAAAATACAAAACCAGCCATTGGGAAGGAGTAAAATACAGCCAGTGAGCAAGATGAACAAAAGAACTCAGTCATCCGAAAGGTGGATAAATTAATTTACCAATTAAAATATATATCATCACACAGATGAAGGGAAGTTACATCACCTGAGCTTTGTGTTCTGCTGGTGAGGAACCATCATCCCTGAAGTTCGGTCCCGATTTAAGAACCTCTGATGACCAACTTGTTTTCCTCTCGCTGCCGAACAGAGGGCTTACATACTCGTCCACACCCGGCCGCCTCATCTCTGCCAGATCTTTCTGCAATTCCGTTGCGGGCTCTGTCTGTTCAGTGATTAGCACCGAACGCTTATGGACTTTTCCATTCAGTGTTTTCCTGTCTTGTGGTGTTACAGGCAGATCGCTGGCCACCTCCTGAATCAAAGGCCCAGCTGTAGCATGGCCTGACTCCCTTTGACGGTCCAACCTATGTATATCATGGTCGCCATTTTCCTTAGGCTTTAGAACCTGTCCTTTCATGTGAAACATAACGGATGCAGCCAGATCATTCTTAATTCGCTGTTCTTGGAGGCTGCAAAACATGAGAATAATGGTAAAATATCCTTTAAGCACGGAACAGTACAACATATTGGATAACACATGTTTCTTCAATTCTCAATCCTAATGTCAGACATTGATTCTGAACTTAATTAAACAAAAACTGGGGATTTGGGCGTCACTGTTAAGGTAAATATTTAATGCCCATTATTGGAAGCACAGATTAGAGATACTAAACTTTCTCCTCTCGTCACTGAGTCGCAGCTTAAAACAACTGAGTGGCTTGCTGGTACACTTCAGGAAGCAGTTAAGTGTCTAAAGTCACAGGTAGATCAGATCGAAGAAGGACAATAGGTTTCCTTCCCTGGGAAACATCACTGAACTCCCCATGAGTTGTTATTTAAACATATCCAGTATGTTTAAAAGCTGAATTCAGATTCTCAAACTGCCAGACAGGGTTTAGGCCCCTGCTCTTTGACATGACCCGCCACATTACTGCCGTTCACATAATTCCCACCACAAAACCAATACGTAAGACTTTGCAAGTGTTATACTCAATTCCTGTCCTTGATAACCAGAGGAACAATCAGTTAGAGATAGTAA